ATATATATTTAGGATTGTCATCTCTTCCTCTTGGATTGTTCCCTTCACAAGAGGGCAGTGACCATCTTTGTCTCTCTTAGTTTTGGTTTGAAATCTACTTTGTGTGCTAGTAAGATTGCTACCCCTGCTTCCTTCTGGGTTCCTGTGGCATGGAGAACTGTTTCTCATCCTTTTACTTTCAGTCTATGAGTTTCTTTTTGAGTTAGGTGTGTTTCTTGTATACAGCATATTGTTTCTTTTTCCTTTTTAATCCATTCTGCCAGTCTATTTCTTTTGATTGGTGAATTGAGGCCATTAACATTGAGGGTTATAATTGACAGATATTTATTTATCCTTGGTATGATGTTTTACTTTTGTTGGCTCTTTTATTTCTTATTTTTCCCCCTTTCCCTTTAGTGTCTTACCTTGCCTGGTGGCTTCCCTCTGTTGGCCCTCATTGAGTTGTGACCTTCATTGTCTTTTTCTAGGATATTGCTTAGAATTATTTGGAATGCAGGTTTGGTGTTCATGAAATTTCTCAGGTGTTCTTTGTCATAGAAGCATTTAATTTCCCCATTGATTTTGAAAGACAATTTTGCAGGATACAGCAGTCTAGGTTGGAAGTTATTTTCTTTTAGGTCTTGAAATACTTCACTCTAGCCACTCCTTGATTTGAGGGTTTGTGTTGAGAAGTCTGCTGTCATTCTGATGGGCTTTCCTTTGTAGGTGATTTGTTTCTTTTCTCTAACTGCTTGTAGGATTTTGTTTTACTCTTGGGTTTCTGGAATCTTGAATATTATATGTCTAGATGTAGATTTTTTTTTTTGATCATGGCTACTTGGAGTTCTATATGCCTCACTTATCTGTATGTCCAATTCTCTACCTCTGTCTGGGAAATATTCCACTATTACTTCTGTGAACAGATTTTTATGTCACTTGTGCTTTCTCCTGTTTTTTCATGGACTCCTGTCTGTCTTATGTTATTCTTCTTTGCATTGTCTACCAGTTGTTGGATTGATTTCTCATGTTCTCTTACTATTTTTAAGAAATCTCTATTTTCATAGTCTCTAACCGCGATCCTGTCTTCTATATCTGATATTCTATCGTCAGATTCCCTTAATCTGCGGTGGATACTTTCAATGGAGTTTTTGATCTCCTGAATATCTGTTTGACTCTGTTTCATGGATTCCATTTCTTTCTTATGCTGGGTATTCATGCCTTCCAGCATGTTTCTGAGCTCATCTATTTTTCATCTGTTTCTGCTCTAGATCCTCTAATCATGTCTTTCACTGTGCTCACCCTCTCTGTAGATATCTGGGAGATTATTTCTGCTTTGAATTTTTCTAGAGCCTCATTCATCTGTTTTGTTCCTTCCTGTGCTATCAGTTGAGAGTATCCAGGTGGTTGGTTATGGGACTTTTGCACCTCATTTCCCCCAGGGTTTACCCTTGGTGGGGTGGAAGTCTGTGTTTGTGCCTTGCTTAAATGTCTTCTCAATTTTGTTTTTGGTACTGTCCTTGGTTTAACTCCTGAGTTGGTAGTTTGAAATTGCTTATTGTATGTATCTTTGTTGCTTGTAATTAGAACCCTTATGGAATGATTGCTTCTCAGAGGTGTCTTCCAGATATAGCTGGTCTTTAAGTTTTAAGTCTCTAATGACTCTAAGGCTATCTCATTTTCCTTATACTAGGAAGCTTCATTGACTAGATCAATAACAACACCTTAGCCCAAGTGATACAATCAGCAACACCATTGCATCAAGTACATCTTTGAAAATGACATTTTGTGGTAGTTATTAATCTATCACCTTTAGCTGTGTGAATTAAATCAAGATCAATCGAGGACCAACCCAACATATAGTGAATAAACTCTTCAATATAACAACTTTACCCTTTGGGATGGGGAGTTAGAAGGGGTTGGGGAGGGAGGGACAGATGGGAAGAAGGATAAGGGAAGGTTAGCAGTGTGGCCAGAGGACACAGGTGAGAAGAAAAAAGTGAATAATAGGAAAATAAAGAAGAACTCTGAATGAGGACCAAAACAGGGACAAAAAGGGAAGATGAACAATGTGGGAGAGCAAAAGAGTGAGTGTAAGAGGGAGAAAGAGAAAAGAAAGAAGAAAAGAAAAGAAAAAATGGAGAGGAAAGCATTTGCAAAGAGTAGGGAAAAAATTAAAGATAAGAGGAGCAAAGGAAAAGAAAAAAACAAACTAATAATACTAATTTGGGGAATAAAAAATAACAATGAAGATGAAGGGCCTCTTTCAGGGTATGTCTCTGCTCTCACAATAGACAACGTGGGTTGCAATGTGCAAATATAAGTCAATGAGTCTCAGCAAGCTAGTCACAGACCCATGAGATTGAGGCAGATTTCTGGCTGCAAGTCCCAAGTTGAGCTCCCTGTCCTCCTGCAGGGTTGACCTCTGCAGAGTTGTATTGCAGGTTCCAGCTGTCCTTCCCCTGAAGATAGTCCCAGTCTTGATGGGAGGTGAAGATGACTCCAACTTACCCAGTACAGTGGTCTGGTGGTCTGGTGTCCTCTGTGTCTTTGTAGTGTGGAGCCAGGTGGCTGTACAGAGAAGAGGCCAGAGCAGCAGGGAGAGGTGTGTGTGTCCAGTGGATTGCTGCCAGGGTGTGGGCTCATTTGGCATGTTCCGCATGACTCATGACCTTGTTACGACATCCGCAGACCTGCCTGTCTGCAGCAGATTGATTCGGCATGTTCCGTGTGACTTGCGACCTTGGTACGGTGTCTCTCTCACAGGTTTTTAAATATTTGCTCGAATATAAATGTGGCAACTCTAATCACATTATTTAAAATTGCAACAATTCTCACCTCTTACACTGTAATTGTTATTTCATCTACATTTTCCATAGAATTTGCTCCCTGCATAGGTTATTTAAATTTGAGATTGTTTATTATGTTGATTTTTGTTTGTGTAGGCACTCTGCTAGAAAGTAAGCTGAGCACAAAACTTCTTGTTTAATGTACTAATATATCTAAAATACCCCAGAGAGTATCTGACACTTAATATTTATTAAATAAATACAGTATTTGTTAGAGAATTAGCAAGGAATGAATAAAAGAATCACTGCGCAGTTATATAAACAGAAGTGAAGTTGGATATTATGCATTTTAAATTTTAACTTTATTATAAATTAGATCATTTATTCAACAAGAGTGAAAAAAGTGATATTTGGGTTAAATCATGAAGTATGAGCAAGATTGTGACAGTCTTAGATAGTAGGGAATTTTCTATCAAATAACACCAAACTAAGTCAGACTGCAAAATTTTATCATGAGGTGAAACACTAGAAGATGACATAAAATGTTAATTCAGGAGAAACTATCACAGCATGTATGTTGAGAGGCTTAAGAACATAAAATCAGCAATGTGATATTGTGACACTACTCACAAGTTTAAGAAATAATAATTTACAAAATAAGTGGAAAGAAGATAAACAAAGTTCTAAGTCATACGATGGTGACTTCTCTGATGCATTTTTTTGATATCATGTATTTTCCAAAGACATTTTTTGCCTGTTTTATAACTATCTTATTGTGTGGCCAATTTTCTGTGCCTAGAGCAATCATGTGACTAGTTGCCTCCATCCTCCTCAGCCACCATGAGATTTTATATATTTTTGTTCACTTTTGACTATCAAGAATAAACTCCACTTTCAGAATCTGTCTTTCTTAGACAATATTCCATTTTCTGGACAGTCTCAAAATTCTTTCCTATGCTAAAAAATATCCTACTACCTACCTTTCAAGCTAATACCTATTTTCCAAGCTTTAAGGCTAATTACTTGGTATGGCATTAAGTTTAATTTTGATTACTCTTCCAGAAATAACTATAGCTTAACTGAGAGATTCAAAGATCATAAGTCAAAATTGCAATGAAAGAATTGCAAATGTTTGCATTTGAGATAATGTGAAATACTTCGAAAGCATGGCATTTCCAGTGCTCCTCCAAATCATAATATATAGGTAGAAATTTTTCTATGTATATTTAGACTAGATCTAGCCAACAGTTTGTTCCAGTTACTTGAGCCATAATGACATATGAAAGAAAACTGCCCTATAAATCAACAGTGGTACTGAAAAGATACATTTCCTAGAATAAATCAAGATCTTTATAATAAAATTTCAAAAAATATAAACAGATAATTTATACAAGAAAAAATAAATATAAGAAACTAATCACGAAAAAATATTGACCGTTGACTGTTAGAAAAGTATGTAACACAAATCATTTAACATCTAATAATGTCACAAAATATATTACATTATATAAATGATATATTACTTATACAAATATATCAAATATGATATAATATGTTATTTATGTAAAATATGTATTTTAAGGAAATGGTTAGTAATATATCAAACAAAATAATAGATATTCATTGGAATAATAATTATGAATCACAATCACATGGAAAATTAAAGGGAAAAGATAGTATTGAAATGTTAAGAGAAATAAACAGAGCAAAATACTATGATATTGCAAGTAAAAAAAATTTAACAAAAACTACACAGGAATATAAACGTGAAAATATTTATATTATTGTGCTAGAATTTGTAGTTATCAGTCTTTATACACTTTTATATTATATTTTCAGTTTTTAATATTCTATTACATTAAAATAGTTAAGAAAATATGGTGAGAGCTTATACTAATAATGTGACAAATCATGATGTGCTTAGATTTCTATACAAACAATGGTGACTGGACTAGCACTTAGTACTTCTCATTCTTCATTGGCCATTAGAATCACACAGGGAACTCATTGAACATGTTTATTGCTGGGTTCTATCCATTTTCAGAGGCTTTTACTTGTTAGAACTCATGAAGCCCAGGAGTCTGTGTATTTAGAAGAAATAATAAACATAATAGTCTCATTCTTTTCTATCTACGAAATCTATGGCATTTTATATTTTGATATGGTTCTTACCACATCAATAATTCTCTATAATTATTGAAGTTTAATTTTTATCTCTTCTACTTTATTTCCCAGCCTGAAGTGGAGTGGATTCATAAGCTGCTTTAAAGAACAACTGAGCCCTTGATTTCGCAGAATGGCCTTACCACAGATAGCACTAGCTACTACTCTAACATGAGCATACCTACTTCTGTGGAACTGTAATAAATAAAAACAAGTCTTCCATGAGTACCAGGAGCTACTTTTTTGCATATAATTTATCAAGATGCAATCATAGTTTTTATATCTCTGGTGTTGGTAGGGCAGCACATCATAATAACTGCATGTCATCTAGCAAAATCATTCAGTTCATGGCCAGAATGTGAAATAGGGAGATAGAGGGGTTAGAATCCTAATATCCCCTCAATGGGACTCTTGTAGTGACTGGAATATCTCCTATAACACCAAACTTTTAAAAATATGTACCACTTTTCAATAGTACCAAGATAAAAATTAAGTGTTTATCACATGAGACTTTTGGGGACACTTGATATTCAAACTATAGAATACAAAATCTGGACCCAAAAGTCTTATTTTCATCTTTTTATTGTAAATGTATTTGTTCCATCTCCAAGAGTCTCCAAAATTTTCACTATTCTAGCACTGTTCAAAAGTAAAAGTCTAAAGTTTCCTCTGAGATTTAAGCATATAATTTATACAGGAGAAAATAAATACAAGAAATAAATCATGAACTGTACCTGTACCTGCTTGAAACACAACTTTTGTAATACACTTTAAGAAATCCAAAAGAGTCAGGTATAGTGGCAAATGCCTGCAATCCCAGCACTCAGGAGGCTGAGGCAGGAGGATTGCCACAATTTTGAGGCCAGTCTATGCTACATAGTGACTTCAATGCTAGCTTGGACTATATAGTGGGACCTTGTCTCAAAAAACCAAACGAAAGAAAAACATACAAAAGAATGTTATATACTTCCAAGATAAAATGCCACAGGGTAAATATTCCTATTCCAAAATCTGGAAATAAGAAAATTAGAAAGGAGTGATTTGACAAGTCCAATTTTGAAACCCAGCAAGCAAATATGAAATTTTATTGCTTTGTATCCAGTACCCAGAATACACTATGGCAGAATGTGGACTCTCAAGGGACTGGGAAGTTATAGCCATAATGTCTTTCTCTTGGACCTCCTCTGCATGCTGTTTGAAACTTCCCCCACCAGACATTACATGTTTCTGTCATTTCTTTCCAGTATCTCAGTCACAGCACTGGCTTGACTCTCACAGCCCCATACATTGACCACTTAGAGTCTCCTTGTGGGAACACATACCTTACCACACACTACTGGCCTTCCATTCTTTCCTTTGAAATCTTAGTGGAAGCACTCATGACCCCATAACTCTTACAATCTGCATGTCTGTAAAACAAGCATTGCATGAACAATGTCACAGTCTGTCACCAGCATGAACTATACCTGTGCCTGTTTAAGACACAGCTGCAGTAGTGTTTCAGTGCCTAACTGGCTTAAGCAGTGCATCTCTGGGCTATCAAAATATATCTATCCTGGAAAATTTACTGTTGAAATACAGTGATAGTGCCTATACTTATCAGGGGACACTCAACCCCCCAACCACCTGACTGAGGGTACAGCAAGGATAAAGAATAAGACAAGACAAAGGTTTGATGCTTTAACAAGGGTATGGGACAGTCAGAGCTTTTATCAGGCTAAGACCCTGAGACTCTGGATTTGCCTCGATTGATTATGCAACATTGCAAGGGATGTAAAGGCAGATGCAAAATACAGCAAGGCTAAGACTCTGATGTGAGATAAGCTTGTAAAAAGAGGAATAATGCATTCCTGAGAAAGGCAGGTTATGCTTAATGTGTAACTTGTGTTTTCTTTAGCTAACATTTGTCTTTGAAGAATGGCTGCATAAGCCATAAAATCCTCAGGTGCAGTTATCTTGCTATCAGAGGTTTCATAGTGTCACTGGCCATTGAGACCTCAACTGACCATTGGCATAGGGAGTTCTGTTTCCACATACCAGCCAAAGACTCATCTAGCAAATTGTGTAGGCTTAGTGATAGAGAAAATTTAAACTATAGGTTAAGTTATTAAGGTAGCTGAAGTAGAATAAGTAATCCATTCCTTTAAGATTTACCTTTCCCATAACTCTTATTGTTTAAGGTGATGGCTAACTGAACCTTTGACCCCTGTAACCTAACTGTAGATAACATTTAACCTGGAGAAAAGCAAAGTAGAAATATTTGAGTAGTTTACAATGTATGTGTTTTAGGTGCCATCTGTTTGTTATATGTCTGTGACTATAACCATCAACAGGAACTAGTTGTAAAAGAAAAATAGAAATTTTACTGACTAAGACCACCAGAAATGAGGTAATGGCTAAAAGAAGATACACAAGGAAATGTTAAAACAAAGGACGGGGTGGACATTGATCACACGAGTTTCTGGCAGTCCCCTTCGCTAGTGAGTAAAGGCTTTGTTTTTTTACCCAACTTCTGTGTCCCCATACATTTCTTTCTGTGATTCCAGAACATTTGGTTCCCTTACCAGGAATTGGGAAAGAAGCGGCCCTTTGGGGCATCAGCACGAACTGCACTGGAGGGAGCAGCTCTTTGTCTCCTCTAGAGGAAAGGCTTGCCCCTGGGACTAATTTCCTAGGCTCCTCAGCAGGACACAGAGATCCACTCATCAGATGCAGATCACCCAAACCCAAGACAGAAAATGACAGAAGGAGGGCTGCTGCTGTTGGTGTCTCATCTGTCTCTTTCCTTTGCTGGGTGAGAAACCCCGGGAAACCCCTTAGTAGTTAACTTTTGGATTTGTTTTGGTTTCACTTTGTGAATTTGTATTTTGTAACTTTGGGCAAATACAGTGCAGGGGCCTGATCACCCCTTGTGCTTTGCCATTTAGGAAGATAGCTCCTCCCATTTGTTTTGGTTCACTTTGTGAACTTTGGGCAAAAAAAGTGCAAGGGCCCTCCCATTTGGGGAGGTAGCTTCTTTCATTTGTTTTGGTTATAGTTAGGGGGTAACCAGGAGGGAATGTGATAACTTCTGAATAAATGTGTGAATGAAAGGGTTCTGGATTGGAAAGTGAGTGGAACAAGCTGCTGAACAAGACAAAGGGAGGAATGATAGAGTCCTCTCTGAGTCGCAGAATTTGTGTGGTTGGGTTTAACAAAGGCACAATTGTGAGCTTCAGCCACAGCCCACCTTAGCCTGAACAGACCTTAAAGTGGCCAAGAGGCCCGCAGGCAAGTGAGTGATCCCCACCTTTGTTTGTCTTGCATCTCCGTACAAGGGTACCCATATACGCACCAACAATCTGATCAGCCGATCGTGGGGACAGAAACATCCCATCCTACTGTTTTGGAATGCATGCTTAAGAATTTTAAGGGGCCAGGGGTTTAGCTCAGTGGTTCCGTCACTTGCCTTGCAAGCGCAAGGACCCGAGTTCTATCCCTGGTACAAAAAAAAAAAAAAAGAATTTTAAGAAAGGTTTTACTGGAAATTATGGTATTAAGATGAAACTCCAAAAATTTAGAGCCTTTTATGAGTTAGAATGGTCCACGCTTTGCCCAGCTATACCAACTGAGAGATCCCTAGATGAGGGTCTCATCTGGTCCACCTGGCTAACAGTCACCACCCCTGGACAGGAACATGCAGATCAATTTCCCTATATTGATTTATGGCTCAAATTGTACCACAGAATGCCTCCTTGGCTTCATATGTGCTCCCTGGAAGAGAAAAACAATATCCTGGTCCTGCATCAGAAAGACGATGATGCTGGAAAGAAACTGGTCCTTTCAGATCTGAACCGAGAGAATTTAGACTTTCCCCATCCTTTTGTGTTGCTAAATTCACAGGTGCAGAGGAGGTGGGGACAAAAGCATGAGAACTGCTTGACTTTAGTGCACCTAAGGGTGCATGCTGTGGTCAGACTCAGAGAGGATCAAATGGGGCATGCACTCAAATTGGAAAAAAAACTGAAAAGAGAGAATAAGCAATGGATTAAAAACAGTTAAGAAAGCTCTGAAGGGCATAAAACAAAGCCAGAGAAAGTAAGAAATTTTACAAGAGAAATCAAGCTACAAATTTTAGATAATTGATAACTGTATCTGTGTTTCAGTTTGAATTGATGGTTAATTGGTGTGCTTAAAATATTTCTTGTACATTGCAAATTATTTAATAGTAATTATAGGGTTAACTTGCTCTTTTCTGTACTTTGTTGATAAAAAAACTCAAGGTCACTACTGTTCTATTGGCAGCCAAACAAATTTAAAGTGTAACACTCTGAGAACAAAAAAGGGACACTTTAAAATTTTAACAGCTAAAGACAAGTTTGTGTCAAAAGGTCTATAGTAAGTGAGATAAAAAATATTAAAAAGGTATAAGTAAAAGAAATGCAATTTTGATATAAGAAATTCTGTATGCTTATCGTGTTAGAAAGAAAAAAAATATACAAGACCAGAAGGTTTAGGTATGTCAAAAGATGTGCAAAAATTATTAAGAAAATATATATGTTTGTTTGTTGGTTTCAAGTTTGTTATGAAAAGTTTAAATATGTTTACATTGGTTGTCATCAAAGGGTTAAATTCTAAGTATGTTACTAATATGTGTACATCAGTCATCAGACCAAGATGCAGTATTTGAGATTTGACTTAAAGGACAAAAGGAGGCTTGGCCCAGAGAAAAAAAGTCATTTATTCTCTGCCAGGACCACTCCAAAATGCTTCAATTATTTGATTCCATCTTTGCTACCAATTGTCCTAATTGAGAGGACTGTAAAAAACTTTGTAGAACTTTGTTAACCCCTAAAGAAATGCAGAGACTTTTAGGGGAAATTAAAAAGATTAATGCCATTAGAATGCCAGGAGATATGCAGAATCCAGATGCTTGGCATGAACAGCAATTCCCTGTAAATGTGCAGCCTGATTGGGATCCCAATAATCAAGCAGGACAGGAAAACTTGAGAAATTATTGGACAGCCCTTTTAGCAGGAATACAGGCTGCCAATAAAAGACCTACTAATCTGATTAAAGTGTCAGAGACCCAGCAGGAGCCGAATGAGAGCCCTGAGAAATTTTATGAGTGGCTTTGCGAGGTCTGCAGAATGTACACACCATTTGACCCAGCAGTTCCAGCAAACCGTCAGCTAATTAATAGAACTTTTGTAACCCAGTCAGCACCAGACATTAGAAGGAAAGTCCAA